GCTGTTATTTTCACTGATGACAATGTGGCAAATGTCTTAGCCTAGCCCAAATCATTACATAGTGTGAACCAGGCCCATCAGGTGATGAATTTCCCCACTGGTGTGCATTGGGAAGTTCCAATGTACCATTCCCAATTTATGCAGTGAGTTCTCCCATTTAACAGTGTTGGGGATAGTGCATAGTTTTTATGTATATTCTATTCCAAAGGTCTGATGAGTGCATGAACTGTGGGCAGAGTATACCCAAACCTTTATATTCATCTATTGTGCACACCATGAGCTTCTGGAAAAATCATGATGAGAGGGAAATCAACAAAGACTTTGGTGGCAACTTGAACAAATCTATAGCATTAGCTTTCTTGGGCTAGTCCCATGGCAAAGGCATTACTGACCTAGGAGCACAATCGTATAATAAGATCCTAGGTATATTTACTCAGTGCAATGGGACTTAATCATTGAAAAGTGAGTTCAGGGCTGCAGCTTTCTCTTCTGGTCACTGACAGAAATGAAATATGAATCAAACAAGTGTTCAAAATACAGGTGTCAGCTATGCTATTTTAAACCAATATTGGAAAACCAGGGAATTTTCAAAGAATTATCTCAAAGCCTAGCCCTGAAATTCCTTTCATGATGTGATCTGAACTGTTGGCTTCCTAATCTTACATTTCCCCCCTACTGAATATAATGGAGCCATATTTCATTATGCTTATATCCAGTTTTGCCAAGAGCAAAAACCAAGTATTTGAAAGGGAGGTGGATTTCCTGCAGGTCTTCCATGAGCAGGGAGGAGGATGCCATTACTCATTCTCAGAGGCGTCTTTCCCATTGGGGTTACTGGCGCGTTGCGCCAGGGCGCTAGCCTCTCAGGGGCACCCCAGCGAGTGGGGGAGCTGCACAGCTTTGCTGGTGGCCTCCCCTTTCTCTGCATACCATCTAGCTGCGCCTTGTCAACCATATGGCTGGTGGGCATGCAGCTTCCTTCCCAAGCCTCAGCGGGAGGAGAGCGATCCCTGCAGATAATCAGATTATCCCTGATGTAAGAGAGAGAAGTTACCAGAGCCATCAACAATCCCAATTCATCTTGATTACACATTAAACCTCTGAATCACTACAGCATTTTATAGTGATTTTATCTAACTCCTTTACCATCACTTCCGAAACCCTTTCCTGAAACTGTGATCTTACAACAAGATGCTCAGAAAATGAGTAAAGCATGGTGAGAACAAAATTTTAAAAAGATAAAAACTGATGAATTTGGGAAGGAAACATGAAAATAGGTTGATAGAAGACAGCAGTGCAAGATTAGGAAGTGGGAAAATGCATTTCAACCCCAAGGATGTAAGAATAATTGCAAAGTTAAATTACTGTAATTCTTTTCTTAAGTGTGTGAAAACCTGGCTAGACTGAAACACTAACTTTGCATAAAAATAGAGCTAGGATGGAGAAATAAATTGAAGGACCATCTTCTGTTAAATCAGTTTTGTCCCTCATTAAAACACAGACTGGATCATTAAAAATTGTTGGAACCCCCCCATCCCCTGAAATTAAATTCCCTGTTCAACAATGACAGCACCCTAAGGAGCTCTGTCACAATAGCAATAAAATAACACATAAATATAGGTATATATTTAAGTTTCAAATGCTGTATGAACCAATGCATTCTCAGGGTACTAATTCAATAGTGATCAATTATAGACAATTGTATCCATGTATATCTACCTCCCAGAGCTAATACAAAAAGTGGTGGCAGTGGGGAGGCATTCCCTTTGGGGTTTCATGTTTCAGAAAGTCTTTTGGTTACTTCTGTTAGAAAATGCCAGTTTAAATTCCAGTTTTTTGTTTGTTTTTCAAAAACTGAAATGGAAAGAGGGTTTCTGGGCATCCAGGTTGAAATGGAAAGAAATTCAGGGTTCCTGGCATCCAGGCTGAAATAAATGCTTGCTTCAACATCTACAGTGCTGGAAAATTGCTTCATGCTTTAAAATAATTGGGAAAGTTAAACATGAACAAAGGTGCTCAGCAGCCTCCCATGGCAACACAAGGAGGAGCAATGGAGCCTCTTAATTTTTAGAGTCAATGTAGCACCATTCAAGACCAGGAACTGGTAACTTTCACACTAAGAGTTAATCTGACCATGGAAGGCAGGCTTTACAAGCATCTAAAATAATCCACATGAATTATTTAGTTTTACTGGCTGAAATGTCATGTTCTGAAGTCAGACAAAATCACAGCACATGCCCTTTTGGCAACAGATTTCATTTCTACCCCACAGTCCCTGCCAGAGATATAGTCCTCTGGCTTGACACATCTGAATGAGAGATCTTGAAAGAGCTCAGACCTACACAAGTTGACATCAAACCACCATAAGCTCACACAGTTCTTTTGGTTCCTGAGCCTAGAGCACCTGGGCTTCTTTTATTTTGTAGTTAAGGATGAACACTTTCAAGGCTATACATGATGCTACACTAGACACTAGGGTACTTCAGTTCCATGATAAGGCAGCCTATTTTTTATCATGACGTCTTCCTGCAACATGCAAACAAAACCATAAGCTTAAAAACAAAAGACTACTTGGCTAGTTGTTTCGGTACATTGACTCTAGCATTATCTCCTGATCTCCTGAGCACTTGCTACCAAGCTTTTAGTGTTTATTTTTATTGACTTGCTTCTTGCTCCTGCTGATGTTGTAAGTGGGTGTTTAATATATTGAACTTCAGATATTTTTAATGTCTTTTTGTTCGGATACTCTTGCCTTACGTTGCTCTGATTTTAATTTTATAAGCAACACACACACACACTTATAAATTACATCAGCCCTGTTCTATTACTTGTGTGTATCTCATGTGGACAGCTACTTTCAAAAGCAGCAGGATGGGAAGAACATGCTACATCAAACTGGTCATCATCACCCATAGGTCCTGCAATATGATTTATATAATCAAATGCAAAAGGAGGGATGCAATATCCAGCACACACATAAAACAACAACCAACCTATGTGTACATTTTAGAAACCGCAAATTTTGACCAAAAAATGTGTGAAGCAACCTGCCATTAAACACTTTAACTCCAAGAACCACAGCCTGTCTGACTAACCAATAATTGCTAAAGAAATGCCGACAGACTCAGCACTGTTAGCAAAATGAGAAAACTTAGGGATGTACATGCTGGTCACATTGACACTACATGGCTGCAAACTAGAGGACAGTGCCAGCATCACTTAGCTTCAGCAAATGAAGGTCTTCTGAGAGTTCCATCCTCAAAGCATCATTTTGATCAGAACAACTGATGAATGCAGAAGTTGAAATGTTTTGCTACAGGAATTTAACATTGATGTTTTGTTAGTCAATGTAATAAATATTACATTAGCTACATCACACCAGGATCTAAAACAAACTTGTGTTGTTTGATGCTTGTACCTCGGTTTAAGAACAGTCCTGTTTACGAACGATTTGATTTACAAACTCCGCAAAACCAGAAGTAGTGTCCCGGTTTGAGAACTTTATGTCCGTCTAAGACATAGGCGCCGACTCCATGGGGCTTGAGGGGGCCCGAGCCCCCTCAAAAATTCGTTTGGGGGGGCTCCGCCCCCCAATAATCTCCGGCGCCCCTCCAGCAGAGCGCCATCGCCGCCCCTCCCCCAGCCCAAAATGCACAGGGAGGGGCGGGCTGCATGCCTCCTGCCCTCCCTCCCGAGCAAAAGCTCCACCCAATTTCCTTTGGAGCTGATTAATAGGCGCAGCACGCTCTCCCCTATTCGCTCACGAGGAGGCGGCGCCACTTTATTTGCATATTCATGAGCTTATTTATTATTCATGAGCTTTCCCGGGCCCCCCCAATATTTTTTATAAGTCCGCGTCCCTGGTCTAAGAACAGAATCCGAACAGTGGAAGGGCACCGGCGGTGGGAGGCCTCATTAGGGGAAACGTGCCTCGGTTTAAGAATGGTTTTGGTTTAAGAACAGACTTTCGGGAAGGATTGAGTTTGTAAACTGAGGTACCACTGTATTACAGCGGAACCTTGACTTACGTACGGCTCTACTTACGTACAATTCCAGTTACGACCTTCAGTAGGTGCTTCGACTTATGAACTTTCCTCTCGATATAGAGGCCTTGCCAGCAGCCCAGAGCTCACCCGGCTGGCTGCAGGGTAGCGCTAGGGCCTACGCCGCCGGGGAGAGGCCTCCGGTTTGCCGGAGCTCACCCCGCTGGCTGCAGAGCACATGTTTTTGTGACTGTGTGGCACCCAGTTCAACTACTGGTTGATTGTGTGACTGCATAAATGGATAAAAGCCCCCCCCCCCATCCAAACAATGACTACTGTATCATCAGTGCACGTAAGAAAATACTGTAAATGTTATTTTTTTTTTTTCATTTTCAATACTGTCTTATTTATTTTATAGTACAGTACATTGATTATTGCCTTCATTTTATGGATCTATAGTCTCATTAGACAGTAAAATCTGTATTAAATTGCTGTTTTAGGGGGTGTTTTTCATGGTCTAGAATGGATCAATTTACTTTTCCATTACTTTCTATGGAAAACTGCACCTCTGCTTATGTATGTTTCTAGTTATGACCGGACTTCCGGAACGGATTATAGTTATGACCGGACTTCCGGAACGGATTATGGTTAGAGGTTCCTCCCCTGCAGAAAAGGGGAGGTATGGGGAAGTCCGGGAAGTAAGGTGTATGAAAATAAGATTATGAGGTTATATATGTTTATATGTTTGTATGTCTGTGTATTGTGTATTGTTTGTTCTTATTTTTTGTGTTTGGAAAACCAATTAAAAATTTATAAAAAAAAAGAGGTTCCACTGTACTATCTGTCCTTAATTAAGGGTGGTATATTAATTCTTTAAATAAATAATAATAATTTAGTACCTTTATGTAACTTGCTCTTTATGTTGCTCACAACATTTGTTCCCAAGTAAAGAAAGATACTATTTTTAACTTTTTTTAATGGAAAGACAAATCTCATTTGTGCAAACTCCAGCAGAATACAGTCACAACCTATCAGCATAATACTGCATAAGCAATTCATTTAATGTGTGTTTTAAAAACAAAACTGAATTATTTCAGACTACCATTGTCTTAGTTGGGGCTTAGATGCAAAATAAACAGAACACCTCTCAGCAGTAAAAATGCTAAGATGAAGCAGCAGAACTAAATCCAGGACTAGAAGCAGGCAGGCACACAAGGATGGAGTAGAGTGCATGATGATCAATGGAACTCAGTGCTGCCAATAGTTCAAACAAATTCAGGCTGGCACAAATGTGAGGCCAATTAAGGAAGCCAGAAAAGTGTTTGCATCATTGAAAAGAAGCAAGGCTCTTTTCAAGAGGAGAAAAAAAATCAAGAACAGCATGAAAAGAAGTGTTGGACCTCACAGCTCCATGAAGCCTATTTGTAGCTCCGTTTCAAAGTGGTCAGTCATCTGAAATAAGGCCTGTGGGGGAACAGGAGAAATTAAAGCTGAGTATATGCCAATATAGTTCAAATTGCCTGCATCAAATTGTCTTCTGCAGTTGCCATTTCTTCAGTCATCCAGTCAAAAACAAGGGGAAAAGCAGCCTAAAAAGCTATGTTTTAACAGTGATACATAGACACTGTTCATCCCTGTAATACAAATGTAACAACAGCAAAGACCAACAGTGGGAAAAGCCCAATCTTCTTCCTATTTTTCTGCTAACAACATGGCAGCCTTCCTATAAGGATCCTAGTGTTTGTCTTATGTGTTTATCACGTTTCATAATAAGGAAACCAGACAGTATAAGAGTGCACACCATAAATTTCAGCGCCTTGCAATTTAGCTACCCCCAGTTCAAGCAGAAACTATAACTTGTGATCTGAGCAATCAAGAACAGCAGAACATAACTCCTTAACCAGGACAAGATAAAGAACTGCCCTCCTAAACTGCAACCACAATTACCTAGTTTTATTTTCCAGCATGCAGCAAACATCTGAGAATGGTGGGAGCTGATCACATAAAAAACCAGCACAATGTAGTGGCTCAGGTTTCAGGAGACTTGAGTTTCAATCCCTACCTGTCAGAGTTGTTGTGGTTATAAAGAGGAGATATAACCCTGAGCTTCTTACAGTGTGAATGTAATGTTGTGCAACTTAGTCCAGAGGAAACATCTTACACAGAATAATAATTATTCAGAGGCAACATCTTATTCAGAATAATCCAAGTGCAAAGCTACGCTAATGATAAACGCTGACTACAAAGTATCAACTTTTGAAATGCAATTTTATAACACATCACTCTTTGCAGGATTTCAGCTATTTTGGGCAATATGTATTAGCACCTCGGCAATGCTTAGCTGCATCGGTCTTTTCACCACTCTTCTGAAAAGCTACTGTACCGTGCCTCCCATTTAGAGAGTTACCATTAATCATTCTTACTTTAAATCTCGTAACTACTTAAGTTATCAGCAGTTGATGTAGTCCATCCTCTTTCCTTGGAAAGGAAAATATTAGAAAACTGGCAACGCAACAAAATTAGAAGCTCACTGAAAAATGAGAGTAAGGGTAGATTTGTAATTCTGTGTGAATTTAAACTTCCCAAGTGGAAATACTCCATGAATATTCATTTCAAGGAGAACACAGACTTACAATCCTGATGTGTTTTCTGCCTGTATCCATTTTAAAAAATCTGGAACTGTGCTAACAGCTGTAGACCAACATTTAATGTGATGGTATCAACCACACCTGGCTCTTCCACAGTAAAATATCTAATATAAACCAGTCCATTCAGGAAACAGCCCATACCATACTACCATTGCCATTCTCCATGACATGAGAGACAGGTGAAAAGAGATAAACACAAGATGAATATCGATAGGGTAAGAGAAGAAGCCAGCAGCCAAGGATGGAGCTGTATCACATTCTTTACAACGGGGATAAGAAACCAACAGGCCTCCAGATGCTCTAGGCCAGGCACGTCCAACTCTCTAGAGGCTGTGATCTACTCCCAGTATAAAACAACTGGCAGTGATCTACCCATTGTAATGGGGGTGGGAGGCCAAGATTGTGAGCTCTTTTTAGGGGAGGTTAAAGTTGCTGAGCTTTTTTTAGAGGAGGATTCAAAGCTGCTGAGCTTGGGGGGGGGCAAGTTGTTTAGCTTTTTGGGAGGCGAGACTTCAGTTGTGGAGCTTTTTTTTACAGGAGGCAAAAGTTCCAGAGCTTCTTTTTTTTGGGGGGGGGGAGACAATAAACGCTCAATAGCAACGGCACTATTAACTATTAATAGCACTATTAACAAACGTACTCAGCAAAATACACGAAAGCTTAGTAGCGCTAACGACCACCCAATTCATGTAACAGACGGACAGAGCGAGGGCGGCAGGGGGAGGAGACTTTCAAAACAATACTTTCTGCTACCAGAGATTGGAAGTAAGCCGCAATCGACCATGACTGACCACGATCACTCATGATTGACCTGTTGGACCTACAATTTCCACCATTCCTGTCCATTGGTCCTGCCAGCTAGGTAGTTGCGAGTCCACCCAGAGGGTTATTCTCTTTCCGTGGACAAATATATTCTTTATTTAAAAGGTTATATTCACAGCACCTCCACTTCAAGGAAATCAGGTGGCAAGCTTATAAAAGAATTTTGCCCAAGAGACCGACTATCATCAGAATTAACACTGCATAAGGCAGCTCATAAACCATGCTGAAAGCCATTTAGTCTGAGGGAAGAACTGCATGGCAGGATCTTTTTTGTCCTCATGGCATGGGCATTGCACTTGGATGTTGACTAGGGGATTGAAGTGAGAGAGAGAAAAGAGTGTTTCCAGAGATGAACTGCTGTTTATATCAACTGTAACTTGAATACCATATGCTTGAACTTGCTTTCTCCTCATGTGTCATAATTTAATTTTGACCACCTTCTTGCTGATTTTTGGAAGCTGCTCTGAGAGTCTTTTTGGCTATAGGGGGGGAATATTAATCCAATAAATAAATAAATAAATAAATAAATAAATACACTTTATCACAATTGCAATACAGGAATGCTAAAAGCTCCCTGAATGCAGTTGATCATACCTACCTCTTTGTCAAACAGTACTGCCTTTCATAGAAGGAGGAGTTTCAGATTATGCCAATAAAGTGCCAAATTCTACATTGGATCACTGTCCTGACTGAGATAAAGCAAAAATATGCTTCCGCTATCACTGATTCCTGTTGATGTTCTCATCACATCTGCAGTTACTTCCTTTGGCTGACTAGGAAAACAGCAGTTACATACTTGCATAGACCGGATATTTATAGGATATTTTATAGGAATACATTGGCTATACAACAAGAAGAAGAGTTTGGATTTGATATCCCGCCTTTCACTCCCCTTCAGGAGTCTCAAAGCAGCTAACATTCTCCTTTCCCTTCCTCCCCCACAACAAACACTGTGAGGTGAGTGGGGCTGAGAGACTGCAAAGAAGTGTGACTGGCCCAAGGTCACCCAGCAGCTGCATGTGGAGGAGTGGAGATGCGAACCCGGTTCCCCAGATTAGGAGACTACCGTTCTTAACCATTACACCACACTGGCTCCAGATTACATTACAGATTACATACACACTACAGATTACATATCACAGTTCCTCTGTTATACTTAGTAGAGATCAATCGTATTTGTTACACAAGTACAAAGAACATCCCTTATCACCACAAGCATGAAGGCAGCAAACATTATAAAATTAATCCAAACATTATATGCTGTTAATTATAGTATTACATTTGTAAATATTACACAGCTCATCTGTTCGCCGGGTGGGAGGGGGGGGAGAGCAGATGAAAAGACTGGGAGGGCTTTATTTCACCGGAGCAGATAATTAGGCAATTAAAACGAAAAGTAGGTAAAAATTACCAGTTGCCAGAAACTTAGAATGCATAATAGAAACTAAACATACACACACAAAATCACATGCATTGATCCTGAAGTGGTAGCTTTAACAAGGACTTTCAGGAGCAAAGAAAGAGTGCAGGTTAGTTAAGCTACAGAAATTTCTCCAACTTTGAGAAAGAAGATCCCAGATGAGTCATCAACTAAATAGCTCTCTGCTCTTATTACATTATACAAATGATCTCTTTTGAATTATCAACCTTGGGTACTTTTATGGACCTTTTCAAACAATACTAAATAATGGCCAGAATATCCTAAACCTTGGCCCAGGTACTGGTACATATTTCAATTACTGGTTATGCATTTATGGGGACTGGGCTCTACACACATCTGCTGTGGACTTCCAAGAGGTGGTGGCTCATGCACAGGCCTGTTGCATCTGCATATAGGGCACTGATGAGTTACAAATTCCAGAAACCGTTCCAAGTGCAAAGAATGCATATTTCTCCCCCACTTTTATAAGCTGCAATGCAAGAGTCAGAAACAGGACTACCTATTTTCCGTAGTGGTATTGGTTCAAGGAAGAGTTCCTTGGAAGGATTATTCACTTCTAGACTGATGGGTGTCCTCCACTTGCAACCAAAGCACTGAGCAGACCTACCCCCTCCTTATCACTGCTGTTAATGCTGCTGCTTGTTCACTGTTCCTGAAGCAAGTTTGCCCTCGCTCTCCTCACTTGATTATGGCAGTGAACAGACAGCTGGGAGGAGAGGCAGCAGCCAAGTAGCTTTTGGAGTTCCCTTCAGCACATACCTGAAAATACGGATCCCTGACGGTAGATGACATTTCCCTTCCAGCTGCAGCGCTTTACACCACATCAAATGCCACTTCCCAGAGAGTCTGCAGAAGGAATTGGGGCTCCAACAAGCATTGGTGCACACCAACACATGCAGTCACGGACTGCAAGTAATCTGTGTAAGAACAGCAGTCCATTTACTTGGGCTCTAGGATTTGCAGCTCTTAACCTCAACTTTTACAAGCCATAGCTTTAAAACCAGCAATGGATCTCATAGAATGTTGACTGAAAGTATGGCATATCATTCTGTGGTTTGAGCGATTTTTACTATTTTTGTACAATTTGTGCTTGAAAGAGGCAATGTGGAAAAACATGTCTGTACCACTGGGGTGAAGGGGGTGGGTGGGTGGGTGGGGATGGTACAGATCTCTTTGGATCTGCATTATATCCAGGAGCAATCAGTTTAGTAAATAAATAGAATATCCTAAGTGTCTGAAGAAGAAACATTTTCTGGAACATACAGTTCTCATCCCATCAGGTAATCACAGTTAGTTAATTGTAATGCCATCATTTACCCAGGACTGCTTTTCTCTTCAAGATGTTTAATCCATTAAATAAGTGTTTATTTGACTTTTGAGTTTCCTAACTTATTATATGAGAATGTTCAATTTTAAGTACATCAGATACTTGAGAGACATTTTAAAATCAACTTGTTCCTACTGTTTATGCCTTCCTAAGTCTTCTTCCAGTCTGAAAGTCATGCTGCAAAAGAAAAGACATGATTAAAGTTTCAAAAGTTTGATTCCTTGGA